AATATGCTGCAGTGGCCCTCGGTGAAATTGAGTTTGACACCCCTGGTATAGATGAATCAGCCTGAACGTTTATACCCCAACAACAGAAAAAATTCACTGCATGGTTCAAATGAACATATAATTTTTGTCATATCATATTTTTTTATATCAATCAGAACTGAAAAGAATATGTTTTGCCTAAATTGCTTTCAAATGACAACAGATATGTAGCAGAAACACTAACAGAGCTCAATAAAAATAAAGCCTAAATCCCTTTTATTTATCTGGCTCCATGGTAGCTTTTTAATTAACAATTTTACCCACATTTGGATAATCACTGTTTCTTTTTGCAGTTTAATGATGTACATGTTGTGTCCGTTTCGTCTACAGCCCCCCTCCCAAGCGAATGTATGCGCTGTACCACACCACCTACAATGGGAACACTCCTCTCTCCAGGGGTCTTCATCACTACAACAGGTTCTAAATTAATCTTTTAACCTCTTTTCTGGTTTACAGGACAATTTTTAAATCATTCATGAAATCATATCTTTGATATTTTTTTTGTTTTGAAACTTGAAAATGGTCTCAAAGCAACATTTTCACCATTTATTGCAATTCATTGTTATAATTCCCTAGTGGGAGAATTTGTAGCTCTTTAACTATCAAAAACTTCATATTTCTCACATATTTGCCTCTGTTTGCTCTCGCAGCATGGAGGACACCTGCAGATTACCTCCACCATGCTTCCCCTACCCCTTCAGCTCCAGTGGGAACCCCCACCTCCATCACCTCCACCAGCACCACCACCACAACCACCAACACAACCACCAGCACCAGCCGGGTCAGAAGCAGCTGGAGCCCCTCATCCTGCACGACGTTCCTCCGTATCAGAGCGGCGCGGGCGGCGGAGGAGGCAGTGGTGGGGCGGGAAGTGGAGTGGGGATGGGTGTGGGTGTGGGAGGGGGTGACGGGACTGTGGCCCGGAGCTGGGCAGGAGGAGGGGAGGCCGTGAGAATCCTGGCAAGACGCGTGACTCCAGACGGGAAGGTGCAGTACCTGGTGGAGTGGGACAACGTGGGTCTGTACTGAGGCAGACCGGGACAGCAGGAGACACGGGACTGATGTGTATTTAATACGTGGCGGTGTGTAAAGAACAAAAAAAATCTAAACATAGTTCAGATCCAGGTTTCTCTCATAGTATCACCTCAGTTGGACATCATTATAACCTCAGTACTAGGTGTTCCTATTTGCTAGTGTTCCTCTGATATTTGTACTGTTATAACTTTGGAATATGCCTTTGCATTGATCATGTTTTACAGTGATGATGGAAACGACTTCAACTTCCAGATAATCTGTCAGTGTTCCACCCTTATTAGGAAAAAACTGTTCTAAGGGTTTATATACTGTACATACTCTGCTGCAGGTATACACGGTACTAGAAGAAGACTTTCTGTTTCTTTTGTATTTTACAGTTTTTAATTTATGATTTACCTGAGAAATGTTTATTTTCCTGCTTCACTATGGATACCTTGATCCCAAAACGGGGAAATATTGGGACTATGTGAAAAAATAAATAAAACAAAGTGATTATTTCACTAAATGTGACTTTTATTAAATTGTCTTTTTCATTACCGAATAATGCTGGAAAATCTCAACTTCATTTTTAGTTCATTTATTCAGGGGGAGAAAACATGGAAACACAGATGCCACAATTATGACCTCTATTTAGATGTTTTCCCTCTTTAAGTTGATCAATGTCTAAAACATTTTGATTAGTTCTCAACAATTCTAATTTTTCTGTGGTATAAATTGGACACCTTTTCTTACCAACTCCTCAAAAAAGAAAACAAAAGACTATAATCTTTAAATAAGAGAGATTAATGCTGATCTTCATAAATGAGGAAATGGTTACAAGATAATAGTGACCCAAACCTGTGCATATCAACAATCAGAGGAATAAATAATACATTTAAAAAACATTTAAAACAATCATAAAATTATCTCCAAATATCACAGTTCAAGAAATCCAACAAACAGTGCATCTTGGGGTCACTAATTCTCCATGATAACTATTAGACTAAACCTAAATCCCAGTCACACCAGTTTGAGTGAGATTTAGCTTTAACTAGGCAACTATAGGGCATCTGACTGTTTCTCCTTAAGGTGTTGCATTAGCTGTGTGTTTAGGAAAAATGTTCTGATGAAGGTTAATATCCATCCAAATATTCACAAAACTCAAGCAGGTCTGACATGGTGTCTGACAGACCACTGATATTTAGGTTTAGCTTGCATCTTTTCTGCCTATAATACATATTTTGTGGCCCCAAAATGCAGGAATCTGGTTGTTCATTTCTTTGCAGAAGCAACATTCAAGATCAGAAACAGGGTGAAGAAATTGTCAGTTGATGGTTTTGCAGAAACATTGGGAACAGAGTTTACTCCATGATTTACACAACCTGAAAGTTGGTGAGTTTTTAAAAAACACAAACCCATTACAATGATGAAAACTTTTTGGTCTACTTCCAACAATCCCCAGTATTGTTCTTTAAAATGAAAACCAAATCCAACTGTGAACAGCCTTGTAAATTATTCAAATGGGGATGATGAAGTGCCAAGTTTGTCCTGAAGGAGTGTTTAGCTACTTTGTGTGTGGCTGAGAATTTGCGGCTGCTGCCAGCAGGAACAGATAGATGTTCATCCTGTGTTTGCGCCAGACCTCGAGACGAATGGATGGGCCAAATAATGAAAATTCAGACAAATAACACACATTGTTTCTGGGATGTGTCTCTCCAGAAATGTTGCTGCTATTGCTGTCATTTTGATGTGAAAATATGTATGCAGGCTCATGAGTTGCACTGATATTTTCTTGAATTTTGCTAAAAACCAAACATGTAATCAAATAATATTTATAAATCGATATATTTTTATTACTTGTGTCAATACAAATTTTTCAAGAAGCATAATGGAGTAAATCATAGCTTGTCATGTTTATTTCCTGATGGTTGTATTTCTGCTGCACTATTTAACATTCATCCACTGGATAAAAACAAAATTGTATATTCATCCATTGAAAAAATATAAAATATTCATCCAATTGACACAATGGTGGTCCCAAGCTGACATAATTTTATTCACATATTTATAGTATTTAACTCCACTCCTTAAATATAAGCTATGCTTGCAATGGCAAGGTTTTACCACTAGATGGAGTACACGCTTCAGCATCCTAAAGGCAGCCACTTCGTTCTGCTGCATTCACTGGCCCTGTGAAACTACGATGTTTCAAGAAAAACGGTAAAATTTGTGATTGAGGAATCCCAAACAGGAACCAGTGAATGGTGACATGTTTACCAAACATATATACAGGTACTTGATTTTGAATTAACGTGTTTGTCTTTATGACTTGCTTTTTATGCTAGTTTAAAACTGGCTCATTTTAGGCTTTTCAGAAAAAATGAAGTACACTTCTAACAGCTCAAGCTAACAGAACCCAACGTTAAGAAGCTAAACGTTAAGCTAGTTATTATTAAAAGTAATTTAACTGGACATGTTCGCAAAGGCAAAAGTTACAGACAACGTTAATTTTAGCATTAATTAGTTTTAAAGTTTTACGTAGCATAAATGCATCATGAGCGAGTTTACGGTGCCATTTTGGCTCACCAGTTTCTTATGGTTGACTTCAGTCTATTTTTCTTTGAATGATATTCAAATATCAAATATGCCAGTTTTCCTTTGTACATTAAAGTCAGCTTTTATTGTCTGCTGCATGAACATAAAAGTCAAGCAGAGAAACAGTGGCCTTGTTTTGGACAGGTGAAGAATATTAAGAATTTAACAAGAAACATCATTTTGATATAGGTAAATCGACCTGCTCAGTAGGCTTTGTTTATATGTAATTTAATTTTCTCTAACAGTGTTGCTCACTTACAACTTGAATGGAATGATTTTTGCTTTAGAGATGAAAAATGTAAAACATTCATAACATTAGCTATCATGTCTAATCAAACCCAAAGTCAAAAAATACAATAAAAAATGACTGAAAAAAATATTCAGACAAGGAATAAGACACCGTTATAAAAATGCAAAACTACATGATTTAGGGAAGGATACAATCTCACAGTCAGTGATGATGATCAAACATCACTTTTATATTTGTTTACCACCAATTTTTTTGTACTTTTAATCCAGTTTTACTGTATGCTACTTTCTAATTCATAGTTCATTAACTTCCAACAGCCTCTGACTGTAGTTTGGAAGCAGATTACTGAATACTTTGTACACCTGCTGTCTTGAATGGTGCTCAAATTTTGAGCCATGTAATGCAGTGAATATTTCAATAATCATAGTGATCTGAATATTTTGCTATTCTAATAGGATTTTCCTGAAACATACCAGGTCTGTTAGTTTGTATTTCCCTGTACTTCTGCACTATATGTCATTTGATTAACTTGTATGATGTTGATACGTGCAACCAGATGCAGTGAAAATACAAATATTTGTCATAGGGAAACTTTTAAAAGATATAATCAAAACAGAAGTCAGTTAGTATCGCTGAAAATTGTGATGGTGATATTGATTTATGACAAACCCACATTTTTGTGACTCTTTCTTTACCATAGCATATTGTCTCCATCACTCTGTGAGTTTTAATATCTCAGTGTAAAAACATACATCAGACATAAGAAATAAGCTTTTTCATAAGTTATTTACTTATTATGTATGCAGTTTAACTTTATGTTAAAGTGCATACATTTAACATAAAGTTAAATGTATGCACTTTAACATAAAGTTAAAGTGCATACAGTTATTAACAAAAAATTCTATTTATATATATTTGTTTAAATTTCTATAGCATTTCTTTTATTTTAGAATTCGATTAATGTATTTATTAATGTATTATTTATTAACTTTATTAGATCTCAGTAAAGGAACCATAAAAATGACAATATAACACACTGATGTTGGATTCCTCGCTTTTGATCATGAGCTAAGTGAATTATATCATAAGCTCCACGCACGCACACACACACGCACGGACAGACTTTGTCTTCTTCGGCCTGAAGCGGTGAATTTACTCTCACTCAAACATCATTATCTTCCTCAGTCTTCTTCAAGGGGCGCGCGCAGAATTGGAAAACGCGCGAGTTGAATCTCAGTTATATAGATATTGGGGTGAGTGCGCGCCCACACACAGAAACGCGCGCGTGCACGATCCTCCCCTCTCCTCCCTCCTTCGCTCTCTCTCGCTCTCTCTCTCTCTCTCTCTCACACACACACTCGCCCGTGCTTCTCCCTCACACCTCAGCAGCAGCGTGCAAATAAACACGCGTACACACACGCACTCACGCACACACACACACCATATTCCCGCATCCTGTATTTTTTATGCACCTCGCACCGGGCGCTTTATAAGCGGTCGTGGATTATGATGCCAGTTTTTATCACAGCGGAATATCGGCCTCTTCTTCTTCGACTGCAGCCGTAAACAGCAGTATTATCGCGTGCTTTTTTTTTTTTTTTTTTTTAGATTTATTTTAATTCCAGATTTATTTAGTAATTTGGTTCCCTAGTACTACTGAGCACCGAGAGACCGCCGCGACGCAAAGCCCCACGTCCGATGCTTTTGGAACATGTCCTATGTTCCCTTCCAAGGTAAGCCAGAGATCTCCCCCCTCCTAATTTTTGACACCCCACTGCATCTCTCTTCTCTGTCCTCCTCCCCCGTTCCCTCCATCCGCACTCTGTCTCTCTCTGTGCCCCTCTCCTCCCTGACTGTCATATGGAAATGTAAGCAGGCACCATAGCCGACAGGTGCGCGCAGATAGCCCAGAGTGCCTGGTAGATAGATGCCCAAACAGGCGCGCACTGAGATCCGGCGCAGCGTCTGTTCGGTGTGCATGCCGCAATTATAGTATCGTAATAAGGGATGCGTGTGCGCTGCTGTCATAGTGTAGGGCTGCTGTGCTGCGTTGATGAGGAATACATGCAGAAATGTTCCCGATCCTGTTAGAAAAATCCACTCCCAGTGAGTTTGTAGTGACACTTGTTAGATTATCTCCACGCACTTCCTGTATGGTGAACGCTGCGAAAAGAACAACGTGATCTAAAGGATGTTTATGAGAACTGAGCCCTTATTATTTTAGATATTTGCAGGATTTTGACCTGAATGGATTCCATCCTGCCTCAAAAAAAGTTTGGCCCACTGAAATATGTAGATGACCACTTCTCTGGCTGCTGGTCTTTCATTCCCTCACACTCCAGCGTGAGTGGGTGAAAGGCGCTTCAATGCACGGTCAAAGCCAGATTCCCTCAGTATCGCTGCTCTGCAACTGTGACTAATGCTGTATGTGAGCAGGCGTGCTGCAGTGAGCCGCCTCACATCCACCCCAGCCTGGATCGCTCAGTTTGCACCGTGTGTCCCTGTGATCAGAGGGTCAAATAAATGAGGAGAGTCAGATGAGAATGAGGTGCAACGGGCAGCGTAAAGTTTGGGAGCAGCTCTGAAGGACTGAGGGGTGTCCAGGTTTGTGTGAGTACCTGCCGTATCTGTGTGTGGGTTTAGTAGAGCGTGGAGGAGTGCTGCATGTGAGGGTGAAGCTAACCAA